TCCCGCGATGACCCCTGCTTCTACTCCCCAGCGTCGGCTCCAGAGGTAGGTCTGACGTGCCGCCCCAGGACGGAGGGGAAGGTAGGCAGGTGGGCCTCTGCGGGGGTGGTAGACAGGGCGACTCCAGTGCACTCCTGGAGACTGAGCTGGCCTGGCCTCAGAAGGAGTCATCAGAGAGGCCAAGCGCAGGCGCCCAGGGGCAGAAGGGGCTTGAACCTTGGCCATCCGGAAGTGTGAGCAGCAGCGCCCTCGCCTCTCCCGAGCCACACAGCCACATATGCACACCTGTCCTGGACACTCCCCGCGACGGTCTCCCGAATCCCCTGCTCCTCTCCCGCCCCCAGGACCTCCGCCCAGGCCCTACCTGTTCTCCCCTGGGTTCACAGGGGTCTCTCAGGCCACCCCACGAGGTTCCTGGGGCTCAACCTAACACACAAGCCAGCCCACACCGCTCTCCTGCTCACGGTCCAGCTGCCCCAAGCCGGTGCACTGGTGTACCCCCTCTCTGTCATGGCTGACTAGCTGAACAAGGCTAATGAGATGGGGACAGTTAGGATCCAAAGCCACTCATCCAAGGGACAGCCAGGGTGTGCTGGCACTGCTGTGCGCATGGTCCAGGTGGCGGGGCGGCATGAGCAGGGGCACAGAGCCTCTGCCCTGGAGGACCTGGCCGACCCACGGGACCACAGCCACTGTCATCCAACCAGCATCACAGGGCACCTACTTGGGCTGTCTCGGGCTGTCTGCTCTGGGGTACCGAGTGCAAAGAATGGTCTCCTGTGTGTGCACGCTGGGACGTGGGGGAGAGGGTGCAGATGCACGCTTGGCTAGGCCTTAAAATCGCACACAGTAGGGCCAGCAGATAGAGCAGTAGTTACGTTGCTGGACTCCCACATGGCCGGCCACCATTAGAGTCCTGGACTCAGTGGTTTTAACTCACGCTAGATGTGTGTGCGTGCCCAAGATTCTGAGAGGATAGTGGAGGAGAAGGGATTGCGGCGGATTGCGGCATGGCCATGTCCCGGAGGGGTGATTTCTCGCTTTCCCTCTCACTGTCTCTGTCTCTCTCTCTTTTTTTCCGAACTAGTGCATGAGCCCTAAGGCAAAAACCTCAATAACAACAACAACAAAAAATCACACAAAGTAAACAAAACCTGAAGTAGACAAAAATGTGCATCTCTTCGTCTCTTCGCTGTTTTTCCCTGGGGCGCTTAGAACCACCTAATCCACAGAAGCGTTTCCTGCTTACTTCTTTACGGTCTGACTTCCCCACTAGTGTGTGTCCCACAGGAGAGCTGGGAATGGTGCCTGGCTCCTGGCAGGGACAGGGAAGCGCCTGGGCAGGGCAGGGGTGCCAGAGAGCTCCCTCAGGAGGGCACATTCAAAAGGGACCGAAGCAGGTAGATAGGAGTTGGCCCACCCAACAGGCAGGGCCCCCAGCTCCTCGACCTGCCGCCCCACCCCTCACCTTTGCAGGTCATCACGGTTGGGGCCACCAATTCTCAGGACCAGCCAGTGACCCTGGGAACCCTGGGGACCAACTTTGGCCGCTGCGTGGACCTCTTTGCCCCAGGGGAGGACATCATTGGGGCCTCCAGCGACTGCAGCACCTGCTTCGTGTCCCAGAGCGGGACGTCACAGGCTGCCGCCCACGTGGCTGGTGAGTCACCGCCCCGCTGTCTTGGCTACCATGATCCTGACTGCTCTTTTGGCAGGATCTGTACGAGGACTTCCATGGGCCAGACTGTGCTGGGGATGGGACACCAAGACAAGGCAGACTGGATGGTGCCCTCACAGATGGAGGGGACCCAGAGTAGTTAGGGCCATGTCAGAGGGAGCCTGAGGGTCAGTCAGGCAAGGCCTCCTAGAGGAGGGGCACTTGGTCTAGGGTTCTGTGGATGAATAGGAGTTTACCTGGCAAACAAGACAGCAATTTGGCAGGCCCAGAAGTGTGAGAGCAGGATGCCCTGCAACTAGGCTTCCATTCAGCGAGAGTGAGTGCTGGCTCAGCTTCTAGAAGCTCAGCCTGGCGTGTTGTGGGCGTGCATGTGTGTTTGCGCGTGTGTCTGTGCATGTGTGTGCCAGCAGGCACCCCCCGGGCTGGAGGCAGGTCAGACCTCCACCATCTCTCGCCCCCCCCACCGCCCCCCCACCCAGGCATTGCAGCCATGATGCTGAGCGCCCAGCCACAGCTC